CAAAATTCAGATGAAGATAATCAACGTCGACAACGAATCGGTAGACGTTTAAGTTCATATCAAGAATTTATTATTAGTACATCATCAAATGTTCAAACGAAATGAAACTATTTTTTCTACCATATAATAAATTTTTTTGTCGTCAGTTACTAAAAGATTAAGTTAGTTTAAATATTTATTGCAATATAGAATAAGTATCTTACCTCTCTTGTATTGATTTGTTGTACTATTATATTTTACTTAAAGTTGAAGTAGACAATAAATCTAAAGTAAAAAAAACTATGTAGATGATTGTATCAAATTGAATGAGTAATCGTCATGTATTCACAGGGGTGTCGGGGGTGTAACACCCCCCTCAACCTTCGAAAATCTCTATTTTCTGCTAAACAAAATCAACAAACCTTCGTACGTTTTATACGAAAGATGATGCTACACCCCCCGAAAATTCAAAAAAATTTTCTTACACACCCCCAATGTTGGTTGACTCGCGGCACCCCTGTGTATTCATGTAATATAAAGATGGTGTTCGAGTATGACTTGTATGCGTTTTATCGTTATCAATGTTTAGCCAAATTACCATAGTATTTATTTACGACCTTGTAAGAATGTTAAATATAAACTAAACGAAAAATTTTACTGACGTCATTCAGTCGTCATGAAGGCGGGGGTTGATTATTCATGTTAGTTTCTTAAACCAATGTTTTTTAGATAGAAATTCATTATGGAATCAAAATTAGTGCCTATTGGATTTGAAGGAATAGTTGCTAGTGAAATGAAATCTTATATTGGATTTGAACAATATGAAGATGAACAAGTGGATAATATAAGCCGTGTTTATCCTCGAGGTATGTTTTCGAATTATTTTTTGTTATATAGTTAATGAATTATCTATTGAATAGATGATACCATGCCAATTCCAAATCAACCTATTCGAAATAATTTTGATCATTCATCTAATTACAATACAAATTCTCATCAATCAACAAAAAGAACTCTTTCATATCCACAAGTATTTTCTATTTATAATGAAATTGTTAATGAATGGTCTAAAATTCAGTGGCTTATATTTACTAATAATCATACAAAAACTTATTTAACATTAGATTCTGACGCAGACGAATTTGTAACCGTACAAATGGCTATCGATCAATATCAATGTACAAGTATAACTACATCACTTATATCTCTTCCTGAATGTTTATTAATTCGGACAAAATCAAGAACACAAGCATTATTTTTACCTAATTCAATCATTTCAATTGAAAATTTATGTGATACAGATATTACTCAACGTCTATTTCAATATAAATTAATGGCAATTATTTGTTCTTCAAATAATACAAATAATAAAATAATGTTTTATAAAGATTTTCAAACTAATTTTTGGTATATTTTTTGTGAACAATCAATACCATTACATTCTTATTCGAATAAATTAACAAACGAAGAGCAATGTCAACTTGAATTATTTATTCAACCAAAAGATCAATTAAATAATATTGATCTATCAAAATTTACATCGTCATTATCTGCTCTAAGCAATCATCCAATTATTTATGTATATATACCAGCTAAAAATAACTAATCATTGACGAAACAATTTCAGATGATCAATATTGTGCAGTAATACTATTTTACTCTGTTTTATCTGTTTAGCTCAATCTATTTTGTATGAATTTATTGTAACTTGTTATGTACATTATAATAATTGCTTCTTTTTCGTTGTTTGTATAAATAAAAATTTATATTCATGCTTCTTCTTGCTTCTAATAAATAGATCCATTCAGTTTTCAGTGATAAATACTGTCTTTATTGAATTCAGAGAAGAATAATCTATTGATATGTGACTGAGATAGATAAATAAAATTAAAATATTAACAGCTCTGGATGTCAGTGAAAAACGGAAGCAGCATGACCTAGAGTATTATTTTTAAATAAATCAATTAAAGCACGAATGTTACATACGATGATTTGATGCATAGTGAGGGAGAGCTTGTGGGTATCACATTTATGTCATATCTAAACCCACACCCATCCCCAAGATGTGTGTTATCTTATCAATCGGCTTTGTTCATTGCCTTTTTATTATTTACACAGTTGTTCTCTGCACACGCGCGCAAGACACTAAAAATACAATTCATTCAAAAACAAGTGAACAAAACATTCTTTTATTTATTTATCAACTATTCTTCTCATTTCTTCTTTTACAATTTCAATACCCTCTTTCACTTTGTTAATATTAGGATGAGTTGGAGGTAGTGCACGTTGTAATATATCCAGAGCACGTTCAAGATTTGATAGTGCTTTCGAATAGTATTTCATATTATAATATACCAAACTGATGTTGTGGTATGAAGAAGCCAACTCAGGATGATTTGAAGGAAAAGTTTTTTGTCGAATTTCAAGCGCTTTTTCGTGAGATGAAAGTGCTTTCGAGTACTCTTTCATGTTGTCAAACAAAGCACCGATGTTGTTGTATGAAGTAGCCAATAAAGGATGATTTGAAGGGAGAGTTTTTTGTTGAATTTCGAGTGCTTTTTCGAAAAATGTAAGTGCTTTCGAGTACTCTTTCATGTTATAATACACACTACCGATATTGTTGTATGAACTAGCCAAATGAGGATGATCTGAAGGAAGAGTTTTTTCGAAGATTTCAAGTGCCTTTTCGTAAAGTGAAATTGCTTTTGAGTACTCTTTGATCTTTGCACACACCAAACCGATGTTGTTGTATGAAATAGCCAACGAAGGATGATTTGAAGGAAAGATTTTCTGATAGATTTCAAGTGATTTTTCGTAATACCAAATAGCCTTTTCATAATCACCCTGGTCATCTTTGATATACCCCAAACAGCCATAATAAAGCGCTTTTTCATTATTATTAGATGTCTGTTCGAGTAATACATTATAAAGTTCTTCAGCTTTATTAAACTGACCAATTTTAAGCAATAGTTTACCCAATCTTTCCCATCCGGTATCACCATCAGCTTCTCTTCGTATCCGATCAGTAAGTACTCGTAGTTGTTGATCATCATCCGACGTTAATTGTAATTCAACTTGGAAAAATAGATTATTATTATCTATTTGTTTAATTTCAGTCACTCGAAAAACGGTATGCATAGAGAAGAGAATTTCATCTTCTTCCTGGAAACAGCTCATCTCTTTAATGAAAGCAAACGGTGGTGATTTTATACAAGGATCAATGGACATTATAAAAAGAATGCCCACCGTATCTGGTTCTGTCGAAGCACGTTCAGCAAAGCCACGAGACACTTCTTTATCTGTACTGGTAGACAAGAAATTGTTAAATGACATTAGTCCGCCTTTTGTTTTTTGAAGTTTCTCAAAATTAGCTTTAGATAGGCCTTGTCCGCGGTAAACTACGAATGATATGTCATGATAACTATTAACCTGTTGTTGATGTAGTTGTTGAATTTGAAGATGAAGATCATGAATTAAAAACCCCATATTAATAATGATATTACCTTCCATCGACCGAAGACCAGCATTGAGCATACAGTAGATAAATGGGGTGAAAGTATACCACCAAATAGCTGATTGAGCACGGTATTCTTTTTCAAATCGATCAATAATAACTGTGGAGCTGCAGTTATTTTGCCGACTGTAAGTAATGAAGTAGTCGATGGCCTGTTTATTATGCTCCATATCAAGAAGAATATCCTTGAATATTTGAGTGTACATAAATGTTGGCTCCAACTGATTTAAATTAGTAGTTGAAGCTATTTCATTTACTGGAACAAAACTCACAGCAATTGAGTCTTGATTGTATTGCTTGATACCCACTTGCAATGCTTTGCATAAGTCATCAATGTTAGTATGAACACTCTTGATTTTTCGCCATTGTTTTGTCGTTTCTTCATGTACGGGTTTAATGTTACTGAAGATATAAACACTATTCAACTGAGCAATATCATTGATGAGGGGCATGATTTGTTGTGCCGGAGCATTCTCTACAATGAGAAAAGACTCGATGTCTTGAGTATCTGTAAGAAAATCGATACATTCGTCTCGCTGCTTAAAGACATTCACATTGTCGGCGATGGTTTGTATTTGTATCAGACTGTTCTCATAATCTTTGCTTGTTTCATCCATATACTCATTTAACCAAATGAGTGAATAGTTTTGAACCATCGGTCGTCTTGGCTGAATCAAATCAGTTGATATTGTTGTTTCACTATTATCATTTATGAATGGGTTTGATAGTGAAGAAGCTTTTTGATTAGATCCTGATTCATTCATTTGGTGCTTTATATGCTTTGATGTTGAATATAAGTTTGCCAATAATTGTTGTTCTCTAAGTCGTAATAAAACTCACCGCTCTTATTTATAATGGCGATGGTGTGTTGTCTCTGTTTTTTTCAGTATACAGAATGTATGTGGTTTTTATCAAGATTTAAAGAGAAACTTCACCTAGTTACCTTTTAAAATACTGTTGTGAAGAGTAAGAGACAGAACAAGGCAAATAAATGTCTTAACAACCTTCGCGACAGAATAAAAAACACAGAAACCAATACAATGGTATCGTATTATAGTTATTCTTTTCATCTCTCTCTTACTGCCACCTGCATAATTACTTCAGTATGTCAATATGCGTGCGACATTCTGTCATTGAAATGGAAGAGAAAGAGAAATATGACTGATTCAACGAATTTCGTTTCTATTCGTCATACATTATTCTAATGTTAAATAATTGCAAGGAATTTATTAGAACAAAAGAACTGTATCAATGAACAGGAAACACTTATTGATTTAGGAATATTGTAGGAATTTTGTCATTGTCTGTTAAAATAAGTTTTTTGTACGAACATATTTAAATGTGTTATATTGTAAATAGTTTTCAAAACGCACAAAAATATTAAGAAATATTTTCATAATTTAAGCATAGACTACTATTGTCGAATAAAAAAAAATTCTTTTGGATGGGTGTGACGTGTGTATGCTTGGTGAATACAGTATCAATACCCACACCCTATCAATAAACAAAAGAAAGTCTTTGAATTCTTTTTTCAACATTTTATTTTAGTATCTCGATCAACTGAAGTTGATAATATGTGACAAACGAAAATAACCATTGTATAATAAAAAGATCAACGGAATTTTAAAAAAAGAAGAGAAGAGAAAAAGAAAATATTAAGTTAGTAGAATAAATAAATAAAAAATTCTAAATAATATCATGTGTGTAAGTACCAGTGACATCTCTTTTATTACAAATAAGAACAAAAAGATTTAGAGGAAGAAGGAGAGAACAAGACTGGGAGATAACAAACAATGAACGTTGTTCAATTTTATTTAGTTTTTCGTAGATGATTACGATATATTGAATAGGTATTCGTATATAATAAATAATACGTAGAAAGTATTGCATGTTTAAAATATTCATATTGCGAGTGATGGTTCGTCAGAAATTCAGTTAAGTCTCTGTGCATGTGTTGCGTTCCCTCAAATAAACGTTTCGGAAATTTATTAAATTTTAGGCAGTATTTATATAAATAGTCGTTTATTGTATATTTTTTCAAAAGTAAATAAACGTGTTTGATCTGTCTTTCAAAGACTTCTGTATAAAAAAAACAGGATGAGAAGAGTCAGATAATATGCGCAAAAATAGTTTTTTCTCTTATTTCTAATAGAAATATAGGTATTTTCTTAAAAAGTATAGGTAAAGTATGATACATTCCTGTAATGTTTTTGAATGTATACTCCACATGCGAGTTTAGTTGTTATGTTGATGCTGATATATTTATAATTTTGTACAAATTCAGTTTCTATATCACTATATTTTACATTAGAGTGCATTGGTCGTATATCTTTACGAACGAACAGTGGATGAGTGTCTTTGGGTGAAAGTAGGTGTTCTAAATTGATCTTACATCATTACACACACATACATATTATCAAGAATAATTTTAGAAGTAAGAACGGAACTTAAACTGTTTATAAGTGATATATAACTAACTGATTAAATGTTTAAAAAGTATGTAGGTATCGATGGCTTTTTTCACTGAGAGTAGACTAGATTCACCTTATGGATTTAGGTTTTTATAGATCGTATCTTTCTATAGTATATCAATGCGAAAAGCTACAAGTCTTGTATCTTTTTATTTAAGATATTATATAAACGATCATAATGACTCATCTTCAATATTTCTGCTACAAAGGTGTTGGTGAAGAAAAGAAGAAATTATTTAAATATTCTCAAGCAGTTCGTATTGGTGACAGAATAGAATGTGCTGGACAAGGTTAGTTTAACAAATTTTTTCTAATAAATACTGAATCTGAAAATTATAGGAGGTTGGGATCCAGAAACAGGTGAATTTGATAAAGATTTTAGTAAACAAATTGATCAAGCTTTTAAAAATGTTCAACTTAATTTGACCGATGCAGGAGGGAAAGGATGGGAACAGGTTTATCGAATTGTTTCTTATCATATCCCATTAGATGATGAAGCTCTTAATGCAATGGTTCGCAATCTCAAACAATGGTGTCCAAATCATGAACCAATCTGGACTGTTTTAGGTGTTTCAAAACTCGGAGACGAGCGAATGAAGGTCGAAATTGATGCATTTGCACATATTCCTAACTAAATCTTTCTGTAGTTAGTTCATGAAATATATAACTCCTATATTATATAATAAAAACGAATAGAATATTATCATAATTAAGAAATTTTCTTGAACAACTACGAGTGTGGATAAATAAAAGATGAACTCACACCCACCCTATATGCTACTCACATAGACATTCTCAGCTACAACCTCAATAATCATCATTTCAGATGATTTAACCTCTCAATTAATTACTACGGTAAGTACAATAGAATACTGATTTTAATCACAGAACCACCGTTGAAAAGAGGTAACACGAAGTTTCTTTAAAAATACAAGATTTTATACGTACATACAACTAAGTTATTTCTCAAAAAAAATCTGAAAAAAAAATGCGACTTTTTACATATAAATAGATCAGACGGCTTTCAGTAAAATGCTTGTAGCTTTTGATCGGCTATAGATTATAACGCAATCCTTGTACAATTGATTGATCTTTAACTAGTCACTATAGTAGGGTGTGGGTGTAGGTGTAAAAAATATATTTAATAAAACTACCAAATATGATACCAGTCTAGTTACTCTTAATAATAGAAGTTGCTAGAAAATGAGTTTATTTATCGTTTAATACAGTTATTATCTTTAGCATAGTTCTTTATCTTTATATTTAGGAACAGTAAATTCTTGTCTAAAAGAAGTAACAGATGAAAACAAATCAAACTATTTACCTGTTCGTTTTCAAGCATTCATCTATTCCTTTTTCTTATCTATTCTTCAGTTTGAACTCAATACAGCAACTCAAAAAAAATGATTGCACATTACAAAACATTCTTCAGAATATACTTAACCAAATTTAATACCAAATCATTTATCCATTACTTGTATATACATATTTTCATACACCAGCTACGATTGTTTAAGTAAAAAATCTGGTAGTTATTTGTAAAATATGATATATACAAGTAAGTGACATTCGCCGCTTTGATATGTCTGTCTCGTATATTGTTTATTGTTCTGAAATAATTACTCACAATATCAATTGTATCTATATTTACTCGAGAACGTAGGTATGATTGTCACATTCATAACTCATCCACACTCAAATAGTGTATAAGCTACTCTTGAACACATACCAACATCGGCATCAATTTTTTTCCCTAAATTTTAGATTACCTAAGAGTATGACGACATGATTGTCGATACCAGCATATATTGTTTCTATCTGACATCTACATTTTTATGAAAAATATGATAGCAAAATAATAATATTTTGTTTGATACGTATTAACAAATCTAGTATGATAATAAAGGAATGTAATGAAGTAATAATGATGCAATTACACCTTCGAAGAACGAAATAGTGCTGATGTATGAAGTAGTTTTCATATTAAAAACATGATGTAATGCTAAACTTATGTAAGAAAGTTTCGTGTTTGAGCAATATCATTCAAAAAAGAGAAAAACAACGCTGCGAGTAGGATTTGAACCTACGTGGGGAGACCCCATCTGAGTAGCAATCAGACGCCTTGGACCGCTCGGCCATAGAAATTATTCATAAAGTATAAGTTGTTTACTAAATTCATCATTGATTTATAATAAAATACTGACTATATCGTATATGAATAGTTTATTCACAGCGATAGCTTCTCGATATTATCCAATTATTGTACAATAAAAGATAGTTTATTAACAATATGTTGCTACAGTTCTTAAGTGCATGGAATATAGAAATTAAGATAACATTTTTGAAGATTCGTAATGTCGTAGACGTTCACGAACCGTGCACGAACTTAAAATAAAATAAACAATTTATATCCATATTTTAATTAAGAAGAAAATCAATCTTTCAACATATAGCAGTCTAAATTCTCGATTTAGATGACCTCATCTGTATGTAGACAATAAATTTCATTCAATTCTAGGATAATCGTGAATGTTAAAAATTTGTGAAAACCTCAAAATCGTGATTTCGAGATCGAGATACGCATCGCATTTCGTAGTTGAGTGAAACTCGAGTATCATTTTGTGTGGCAATAGTCTCGAGAATGGAAAGTTACGAAATAATGGTTGAATTTATACCATTTTTCGTTATCAGATCGTCACCATATGATTTTGTTCTTTTACATTTTGAGATAATTAGGGTGAAAGGAAAAAGCAGGGTGTGGGTGTGGATGTTGATGATAATGAGATCGGTGTCTAAATATCCAACCCTCACCACATCCACATCCACAGACTCACACCCACACTCACACCCACACCCCACACCCCACCCACACCCACACCCTCACACACCCACACCCACCCACACCCACACCCATACCCACACCCACACCCTCACACACCCATACCCACACCCACACCCTCAAGATGGTTGACAATGGTTGATTTGATCGAACAGCAAAGCTCACCTCTTCTATTTATGTAGACAGTGTATTGTTGTTTTTTCGTGATTTTTCTCCGACGCAGAATGATCTTGAGGGTGTGGGTGAGGGGTTGGTGGGTGTGGAATGGGTGTGGGTAATGATGAGAATGAGATCGGTGTCTAAATATCTTACCCTCACCACATCCACAGCCACACCCACACCCACCCTGCAGTTCAAATCTCAAAATCTAAATTTACTCGACGAACATCACTTTACATTAGAATTCGAAATCCGTCCAAGATTCGGGAATATGAGGGTGTGGGTGTGGGTGTGGTTGTTGATGAGAATGAGATCGGTGTCTAAATATCGTACCCTCACCACATTCACATCCACAGACCCACACCCACACCCATCTATATAAGACGTTTGTATTTTGAAATAAAATCAGAGATATATACGCGATCGCGTGCACACTCAAATTTTTCTCTCTTTCTTTATCGATACACAGTAACAAGCACCAACAAAGGAAGGCTGCACTATGACGAAAGAAGACAAGTTTGTGAAAGAAAATGAAAATGAAAATCTGTCATATGAGACCGAAAAATCAAGGCACACATACGGAAACTGTCGTATATATACATAGAGCAATAGAAAAACTATGCGACGCGCTAAAATGGGTTAGACCCGAGTTCCTCGACGCTGTTTCCAATGGTACAATTTGCGTTGTTAAAGTTGTATTTGTAATTGGTATCGTTGGCGTTGAAGCTGTCGTGGTGGACTCTGAAATTGTTGAGCTGATTGTGGTACTAGTCTCTGCAGTATTGGAAGTAGATGTAGTACTCGACTCTAAAGTACTTGAAGCAGTCGTAGTGTTCGACTCTGAAGCGACGGAAGTGCTGGGTGTGCTCGATTCCGGAGTGCTAGAAATGGTTGAAGTACTAGGCTCCGAAGTATTTGAAGCAGTTGTTGTGCTCGAATCTGAATTGGTTGATCTGGTGGATGTAGCCGATTCTGGAATGATTGAGGTGGTCGTTGAAGTTTCTGAGATTACTCTTGTGGTTGTTAAAGTTGTGTTTGTGAGCAACGTCGTTGGTAGCGTGTGCGTAGTGATGGGCTTAGCGGTAGTTGTACTTTTAGGTGAAGGAGTAGTTGATTGAGTGGTCATAACGATCGTATTGTTTGTTGTATCTATTCGTGGCGTACCTATTAGAAATTATAGAACAAGTCAATCGATCCATTAATATTTGAAATATCTCGGTAGAGCATCACTTCTATTAGTATCTTTTCTATGAGTCATACACTTAACAATTATAAGGATAATTATAGATTCGTTACTTCCATTCACAAGGACCGAATTCGGTTTTATATTACCTAATCATAAAGTCGTGTATACACGTAGGATACCTTCGGGCAGACTTCGACATTTTCTTGAGCCAATTCGTTTCAGCGTAGGTTCCAATGGAACCAACACTGCTTCCAAGTAGGGTGGGTGTGGGTGTGGGTGTGGGTGAGGTGGAAAATTTTTATGATTGGAATCGATAGAGCTCGTCGAGTTTGATCTGGAATCAGTGTTGGTTCGATTGGAACTCACGCTGAAACGAATTGGCTCAAGAAGATGTCGAATCCTGCCCGAAGGTATCCTATGTGTGTATACCTTTGTAAATTTCAATTTGCTTTAGTAGTGAGAATTGAGAGAAGTGTTTGATTCAAGCCAGAATATATTTTTCTGGCATATTAGTCTTACTATTAATGTAAATGACAGAATAATGCTACAAAACTTACGAACACATACGTTGTTTTGACATAGATTACTCATACAATCATAGCATCTCTTACAACGCAATAAGTCTTGACATCTTGGACACTCGAGACCTCCACAATCAATATCCGACTCATCTTGATTTCTCATTCGATCCGCACAATGAAAAGCTGTAAAAAGTAAAAGAATGACTAATGAGAGTCGAAGAAAATCTAAATAGAACAAACCTTCGTCATTCGTTGGAGGCGATTCTTCAGAGCTCGATGAATCAATCGTGATAACTATACGAGTTTGAACACAAGTTAGATAATAAGAATGAGAGATCATCATGCAAAGTAACAATTTAAATCTATGAAAATGTATCAAAGGTTTCGTTTTAAATTCAAAAGTTCTTACCCGACCATCATTGATAATATTCGAAGTTAAATTTCACTTTTATATTAAATTCAAGGGAAAACTGATTAAATCTGAAGAGACAATTGAGAACTAATGAAGAAGAATTGGTTTCCAGATCGAATTCTAGTGCAATGATGCTCATTTGAGAATCGAAGATAATATCTTGAGACTTTATCAGCACAGACTCTTTAAATATTATTTAAACTATTCTAACGAACATGTGCAGTTACATCTAATTTTCCATATGATACGTCATAGCGTTAGCCAGGAAATTCCATGCATTTAAGATGCCCCACGATTTCCCGGAAATTGAATTTCAGTATAGGACGGTATAGGCGGTAGAGGACGGTATAACACACTATTGTCTTACTGAGGGTGCCGCGGAGGGTGATATTCTATACCGTCCCATGTCTTATACCACCCTATACGAATTATACCGTCCTATACCGCCTATACCGTCTATACCGTTCAATGCCTTATACCGCCCTATAGGAAAGTCTTGCAAAAAACAGTTTCCGGGAAAACGCTATAACACATTAAATCTAATTTTCCTATCGAAAATGACATTTTCTGTAATCGAAGAGAAAGAAATTAATGATTTGCTAACGAAGCACTCGAAATGAAGTGTAACTACCACCTTCATCTTTGCTATTTATTCACTATCAGATACTTTCTCTCATTTTATATAAAGGCTCGTTTTAACAAGAAAATAGTATGTCAAGGTTAATTAGTAAATTTTAAATAGACCAAGAAGTATGATGAATATGAACAAACAATGGATGATTAGTAAAATCGAAGAGACAAGAATTCTTAATTTTAATCATATTTCGAATCGAAATTTGTCTTTAAGTAAATATTGTGTCGAATAGATCCCAGTGAAAAATTGTCAAATTATACCTCATTTTGTAAGATTATGATCGAATTTTTGTGCAACAAAATCAGGATTATAATCGATTGAAATTTTTCAAATCAACAATAATTCTATTTTTAATCAAAAAATAATCTTGTAAATCAAATATAATTTTGATTAAAATCATGTAGTTCTGATTAAAGATAAAGTAAACCAAGTTTGTATGATTTTAATCAAAATTATATTTGATTTACAAGATTATTTTTTGATTAAAAATCGAATTATTGTTGATTTGAAAGATTTCAATCGATTATAATCCTGACTTTGTTGCACAAAAATTCGATTATAATCTTACATAACGAGGTATAATCTGACAATTTTTCACTGGGATGTTTTCAAGTTTGTTCTGTATGTATGGAAAAGAAAGTGACCGTAGAAATACTCGTCGCAAAAGAAATCCATTAACACAAGAGAAGAAAATAAATATGAGCATTTCTTTCGCCGACTGTATCGAGATGTTTTGTCTGGTGAAAAAAAACAACCGAAAAAATTGCAATTTCAGTTCTATTTTCGTCAAAGATATTTATGTAGCAAAATAATTGGGATTACTCACGCTGATTACTCAAACTCGTACGAATACATAAAAGTTCAAGGCTAATATTGCTTTTTGTCTTGTTTTTAAATCACGAGCATTTCGTGTGGAAGAGAAAGTGGGTAAAAATGTTTTTTTAAGAAGCCTCGCACCGGTTTGTGTGTATTTTTCGAAAAAGTAAATATTGCTTAAAATGTTGATTCTTTTACAAAAAATGTAAATCAAACATTCACCTTCAAATCACATCCTATATAAACTTTGAAGTAAGTGTGAAACATACTGTGATTAGATGTGAAAGTTAAAGACGAAAAAAAACTTTTTCTTCGTCGTCGATACGAATTTTGAAGATCAGGCACAAAAATATGTTCAATATCGAAAGATTTTTTGATGAAATTGTTTTTTAGATTGAATCACAATAGAAGATTGTCGTTAAAATGATCTTACTCAGGTGATAAGTTTTGATTTGATTACTGCTATGTTCGATATCTTTTCTCTTTTTTCTTGTTTACAGTTCAACATCATTGATTTTGTTGGTGTTTTGTTCATTTTCCTATTTCGTCGTGATTAACGGTAGAATCGCGATAACAATTGATTCTTCAAGTTCAGAAGAAGAACATAAACCAAAACATAAGGGTATGTTTGAGATTGAGATTTCGAGATAATATTATATTCTATAGAACCATGTTGTACTGATCGAATGAAGAATCGAGATGAATCTGACATTGATTGTGGAGGTTTCAATTGTCCTAAATGTCAAGATATGAAGAAATGTACTTCTCCTAACGACTGTCTCAGTGATGTTTGTATCAACAATACATGTATTCGTATGTATTATTTACTCTTCAATTTGATGATGTAGAACAAACCTTTTTTCTTTAGCATCACCTTCATGTTTGGATCGAATTCGGAATCAAGATGAATCTGACATTGATTGTGGAGGTCTCAATTGCCCTAAATGTCAAAATATGAAGAGCTGTACTTCTTCTAACGACTGTCTCAGTAATGTTTGTATTAACAGTACATGTATTCGTAAGTATTATACCGTCTTGTCCTTTCATACAACACGATTTTGTGTTATTTCAGCATTACCTTCGTGTCAAGATCAAATAAAGAACCAAGATGAGACCGATATCGATTGCGGCGGTCGCAGTTGTCAGAAATGTCAGGATACGAAGACTTGTAATGTTGCATGTGATTGTCTCAGCGATGTTTGTATTAAAAACAAATGCATTCGTAAGTATTCAGCTCTTGTTTAGTTTCGATTAATAAGAAGTTAGTATCGTTTCAGCATCGCCTTCGTGTCAAGATCAAATAAAGAACCAAGATGAGGCTGATGTCGATTGCGGTGGTTCGATTTGCCCGAAATGCAACAATGGTAAAGCTTGCAATACTAGCGAGGACTGTTTAAGTGATCAATGCCGAGTTCAGTTCTGTCAAAGTACGTTGTTTATTCTTTCTCAAAGTAATCTTCAGAAATCTTTGATTTCTTTTCATTTGTTCAGCATGTTCCTTGGTTAGTTTCCAGAATGGTGATTTTGAATCTGGAACTATTTCTGGTTGGACTCTTGGTGGTGGTTTACGAACATCAATCTCTTCATCGGAAATTTTGCCCAAATACTTCTTACCAGGTGGACAATTTTATAATTATACCATAGCAATGACACATTCATCAATTGTTACTAATGGAAGTGATCCACTTCTTGGTGATTTAATGCCAGGTATTGTCGAAGGAGGTCAATATTCGTTTCGTGTCGAAGATTTAGAAAAAGGAGGTTATGCATCGGTGATTAGTCGAAAGATCAATAATTATTTTTGTTTGGACATTTATTTTTCATGGTTGGCTGTTTTACAAAATGGAAATCATTCTTCCAATCAATCCAGTTTAGTTATTGTTCAATTGGATGATTTCACTACAGGTGAAAGTTTAATTTTGCGTCGTTATGACGCTGGAGCAACAGGAAGTGGTGTTGATAATCGTTTTCAAGCAAAAGATGATTATTTTTATACACCTGCCTGGCAATCGGAACACTTAGCCATCGATAATACCCGTTTTGGTCATAATTTTACATTAACAGTTCTCGCAGCAGATTGTGAACCAACTGGTCATGTTGGTTATCTTTATCTCGACAGTTTTAGTGGTCTTTCACCATAATAAAATTTCCTGAAACTTCACTTTCGATTTCGTCGACTAAAACTAATATGACAATGAACTTTTCTTCTTATATATTCATATTTACTCCTAGTGTGTCTTTTTCAATTAATAAATAAAACTCTATATTTGAAACTGATTAAATCAAACTAAAAAAATCCAGGTTTAACACCTTGTAATTATGATAATCTTGTTGCGTATTACAAATTATCCGAATAAAGATCTGTTCCAATATTACCAGTCATTCGATGCTTTGCACAATCTTTGTGGAAATATTCATACAAAGTAATTCATGTGGAAACATAATTTTTAATTTAAAAAAGAAAAAAGTTGATTATAAGTGTAAAGCAATTGAAGAACATCTGTGTAAACCTTTTATTTGCAAATGAAAAAGCTCGATCTAAAAGAAATTATGATATTTCATTCAAATATACACATTGTTCTCATTTTTGTTTCTTCTCTGAATCATACTGATGTTCTAGGATTGTCATGAAGGTGGTATTATCATGAGGGTGTGTGTGGGTGTGGGTGCGGACGTGCGTGTGGGTCTGTGGATGTGGTGAGGGTAGGATGTTTAGACGCCGATCTCATTCTCATCAACACCCACACCCGTACCCCACACCCACCCACCTACCCACCCCACACCCACAACCTCACCCACAACCTCACCCACACCCCACCCTCACCCTCACCCACACCCTCAAGATCATTCTGCGTCGGAGAAAAATCACGAAAAAACAACAATACATCGTCTGTGTAGATAGCCCACGTAATGGCCCACTGCAGTAATTGTGCAGAGGAAGGAGGAGAAAGTGGGAAAGAATAACAATAACATAAAATAAGTTGTCTGGTTCGGACGTTGTTAACGAATTTCTTTATAATAATCTCTCTCTTGCTTATTATTCATAGGAGAATATTAATAGAAGCAGAGCAGATTATTCATTGAGTGTCAATAAAAAATGCAATCATTCTGCATTGGAGAAAAATCACGAAAAACCAACAATACACTGTCTATATAAATAGAAGAGGTGAGCTTTGCTGTTCGATCAAATCAACCATTGTCAACCATGTTGAGGGGTGGGTGTGGGTGTTGGCGTGGGTGAGGGTGAGGTGTGAGGGTGTGTGAGGGTGTCCGTGTGGGTGAGGGTGGGGTGTGGGTGTGGGTGTGGGTGTGGGTCTGTGGATGTGAATGTGGTGAGGGTAGGATTTTTAGACACCGATCTCATTCTCATCAACACCCACACCCACACCGTCAAGATTTGCTGTTACAGAAAGATAAAGCATAGTTCTTTATCTTTATATTTAGGAACAACAAAATTCTTGTCTAAAAGAAGTAACAGATGAAAACAAATCAAACTATTCACCTATTCGTTTTCAAGCATTCATCTATTCCTTTTCCTTACCTACTCTTCAGCTTGAACTCAATACAACAACTCAAAAAACAATGATTACACATTACAAAATATTCTTCGAAATATACTTAACCAAATTTAATACCAAATCATTTATCCATTACTTGTATATACATATCATATGAACGTACTTGCTGAGATGTTAGATATTTGCCGTGCGTCTCTTCATTGTCTAACCAGCCTTTCGAAACACAATTTTTTTGTTTAGCTCATGTTTCGTCTTCGTTTGTAACATCTTATTCTCAATAAAAGGCTATGCATGCAAAAAGAAATTACAGTCCTACAGATTCAGTTAGTATTGATGAGATGATGTTATAATGCATTGAAAACGATCTGATACTTGATACCAATGAGATAAAAGTTTATTTTATCAAAAAAAGAAGTACGATCTTTTGATGATTAATATTTATCTATTATGACTTTATTTTTGTAGTTTTATAAAGTATCATAAGCATTGTAAATATTAAAAAATGAATAGAATGATAATGTTTGTGACTATAATTGAAAAAAGATAATATCAAATGACTTCAAATTAGAAAACGAAAAAGTAAAACTGAATTCAATATTTTTTGAAGTGTTGTATTAACAATAGAAAATGCGTACATAAGTATGTATGAGCAATTGATATAGAAATATAGATGAGAATAGATAACGATCAATCTTATAAATCTGTTAAAAAGTATTCATAATTCTAGAAAGTTGCAAGAAGAATCTTAACTGACTAAGTCAAAGAAAATACAACCAAAACTATCGACTCGTATTTATTTGAGAGTGTGAGCGATGGTGGAAATACAGATCAGTCATGAATGCCCACACTCACACCCTCACATTATCTATGTCTAGAAATAAAAATTCAATATAAAATTCTGAATGTGTGGATGGGGTATGAGAGCATTTTTGTAGCCTTTATTCACACTCACATATATCCACCCATAAGATGAATGACGATAATATTATTGTTTGTTTTCTTATCTTCACAGTGTGCAAGTAATTATGTCGTCATTTTACTGTTCTCTACTCATCCATAATGTGCATCTTGCCTATGAGTAATATAACTCGAAGTATCGACGAGCCATGTGCGAATATAACACGGCGATAGCGCACATTTTGTTGATCAGTTAAAAAGGTGCATAGACAAATATAGATATACAATACACTCGGATTCAGAGAAGGTATGTAAAATTAATGCTATTTGAACGTCAGTATGGCCACATTTTTGAAACAACAATCGATATTTTTTGTATTAGCTTGTGAGTTTCCGTCGAAATAGTAAAAGTAATCGTTCTCAAAATGAATTTCTTTTATATGTATCTAGAGAATAACAAAAATAACATTCACATTATACTTTCTGATAAATGTAGAACTATACAAGACATATTGTAAAAGAATTCGAATTTTGCATCATTTCTTTCAACATTGTTTTGTATGCAGTAATATTTCGTTGGATACATGGATTCTTGAAAAAAAAACAGACTTTAAATAATCTAACATCCATATAAAAGTTTGAAAAAATATACAAACTATTTATTTGTGTAAGTCACTATGTTGTTGTGAGAGAATGGGATCTAAATGTATACACACAGTAATCAGAATGTACAAGAGCATAGATTCATTTTGTTTCATTTTTTCGAAGATAATAAATGGGCCAAAAACTCGTCGCATGCTTTCGACCACCACCACCACCAATAGCAGCGGAACAGAAACTGTCCGAGCAAGTGTCTCCACCACCGCAACTATCGTATGTAGAACAACAGGACTCCATTTCCGGTCCTTCGCTCTGTGACATGCCAGCTGAATTACTTCTTTACAACATCTTTCTATATTTAACATTCATGGATCTCTGTCATCTTTCGCAAGTCAACAGACTTTTGCACGACCTTCTTGAATCAACAGACGACGATAACAGGGAGCTTTCAGCACATTTATGGGCAAAATGTATCAAGTCTGAAATGTTAGGTAAGAGTACAATAACTATTCGAACTTGAAAATCCATGGAATTTCTACCATTTTGGAGAAGTTGCTTATTATCTAGGAACAACAAAGATTGTTCAGCACATAAGTCGATGTGTTTCTAAAGCTTTGCTTAGAGATGATTAAAATGTAGAGGAGATATTTACGTTTTTTTGACGAACATTACTATGGAGTGTCTTCCATTCTCAAAACGAATGAAACTGAAGATTTTATAGTTTACATTGTTTGTTTTTGTAGAGAGTTTTATCAACAAAGACATTACCGTGATATATATCAGATCTGGTAAAAACAATGAAGTTATCGAAGATCATCTCGAATGCGATAAAACGGCCACAATTCGTGTTTTTGAAAGTTAGTGTAATGCGGCGCTGCACATATTAAAATAACTCCAAATTGCTATTTAGGTGAAGATTTTTCTAAAATCAAAGAGAAAATCTTTCTTGCCTTCGGTGGCAACCAGTTACATCCGGAACTGTGGCCTGATAATCAAGAGCTGGGTGTACAAGGTCAATCGTCATTTTGGATCGAGAAGAATGATAAACTGTCAAAGTTTCAATATCTAATGAACGATGAGAAGAAGTTCATTCTGACAGTGCGTCCACATTTGTATCCACCATTTCAAGGAACACCCAGTAGCGTAGCTTACCGTGAGATGCAATATCGTACTTTATTAGAAGTCGCTGCTAACTACCAGAAAAGTAAGCTAAACTTTTTTTAGTTTTCAAAATTGACTATACAACTAAGTATATTATTGGTGATTTTTTTTGTTCTAGATCACAACCAGTCAGCTGCTGATGTGCCTGAGGATCAGACAGAAATCTTCGAAAGTATGAGGGCAAAATTTCAATCTTTATATATGAGACGAAAACAAGAAGTAGGTTCGTGGACAAACGTACTAAGTATGCGATGTGGTGGGTGTACTGGCTTCTCAAGAAGCGACTATAATTGGGAGCTCTACAGTCGATACATTACAGTGTATCCAATAAGTTTTGCCAGGGTTCAAAAAGAGTCTTTGCTTCGCTGTTAACTCCAAACAAAAATTAGTTTTCATTGACGACAAAAGAGTTTTCTCTTAAATTTTCCAGGTGTTTACTATAAACGTGGTCTCCTGAACTCAGCTGCTACAATGGACGATCACAGTCGCCATCTGGTTACAGACCTTGAAGGGCCCCTGGTGAATCCTTATTACAATGAGAACTGGCCCAACTACTATCAAGGCCTAATCAAATGTCTAAAGTGCGGACAAAAACTTTTTCTTACGCCGCCGTTGAATGAACAGCAGCCAAAGCCATACACATGGTACGGTAGCTATTTACAGAAGAGATCGCTTCACAGTAGCGATAGACATGGTCATCGAATAGAATACATTGAAGTCTATTGTCCTGCATGTGAACGATATTCTCTTTGGCTGTGCAAGGCACAACCACAGAAATGGTTTCCGGCACTGGGAGGAACTTCGAAGACGAGACCAAAATGATCAATAGATAGAGTCCATAAAAGATTGTTTTAATAGAGAGAGATTTACACAAAATAAAGAAATCTTCTAAAAATACCATGGTTGTTCTATAAAGTATAGATTATTGTGATTTGCTAAATGTTGTTTGTGTGAGAGCTGCTATCATAATCTAGAGTTCACTGAAGCTACGATCAAGATCATCAGATGGCTTTATAGAATAATTCTGACTCGAAAAGTAAAATCAAAATGTAGATTTAACAATTTTATAATTATCGAGGACAGGGTGTGAGTATGACTGTGGGTGGGTACTAATGTGCAAAGAGAGAAGACTGGTACTTACACCCACACCCCACCCTAAACAGTGAGGGGACCTACAGTCCTTCTTATAGTATATTAAACTAAGTCCAGAAAGATTTGTATCAAACTTTTATTTTCATTAAATAGTTCATTATGTATTCTATTACTAAACTTGTAAAATAATATCCTCAATCGCTATTGTTGTAGGAAATGATTGGAGTTGATGTACAGATAGTAGATGAGTAAGTGCAATGTCGTATGATGGTGGTGAAACTTCTGGACGATGTTTATCAATGGCAATATGGTATGGTGGTGGGAGTGCTTCGAATATACTAGAAATTGCTGACACCGATTGTTCATTATCATATGGTGTAGAAACATTTAGTGTGGATTGTTCTGTCATTTGCTGTCGGCCAACTATACGTTCGTTACATGGAGAAATGTTAGAAACGCGTAAACAACATCGCCAACATGCGCGAATAATCAGATACATTAGAGGAATATAAATACAGCAAACGAAGAAAATTCCACTAACTATTTCTAACCCCAAAATGAGTCCAGAAGATGAAGGTGAATGAGATATTGGTCTATTAAGAAAATCTGGTCGCGTAACATGTTGAAACATTATTGGACGAAATGTTGGTATTGTTCTATAATGACATGCAAAAATTTCACTTCCACATTCCACATTTAATATTGCTATCAATAAATACCAAACTAATCATTTCAATCTTTTTAAAAATTTTCTCTTACCTGGGCAACACCAAATCAATGATCCAAGAGAACAAGTCTTTTCTAAATTTAAAAAGCAAAAATTTCATGATGAATCACTACAATCCTAATTAAGAATATACATACGATAAGATGACGAACAGTTTTTATTATCTACAACTGTAGATTTAAAAATAACTAGAATAAAAATAGAATATATACCATTATTCAAGTGACTGAACATTTTATTTGGAACGTGAGATGTTTCTTTATTCAATTATCTAGAAAAAGTGCATAAACTACTTCATACAAATTTGGGCATTGGCAGACACATTTATACATAATATCAGTTGAATAATAGAATAAAACCTAGCAGAGACTTTTCTTTCACTCGACGAAAAAAAGAATCATAGATAAGCTTATTGCTTTTAAAAGACAAAAAGTAAAGTTGCAGATAAAAAGATTAACATATCATTCAAGTTCAAGATACGTAAAGATTTTTTCTGAGTCGTGATAAAAAATAATATAACATAAAAAAGAATAAAAAAAATGCATATCTGCAAATATTTCTTTATCATAGTGATCATAAATGTAATGTGATCATAGGGGATAGAAAAACAACTGCTATGGGCGTGTGGGTATGAGTGTGAGTGTGAATATTAAGTTAATCACCTTCACCCACACGCATTGATCGATCTTTTATAAGAGAGATCAGACTTATCTTTTTATTTGTGCTTAACTATCCAGTGCTCAACTTTCTCGTGCTCATCGGTCCGATTCTTGGACATAAGAATACTGAATTATATGATCCATTGAATGAAACATGGTCTATGATGGATGATATGCATTGTCCGAGACGTATGCATCAATCATTGCATTATCGAATGGGAGAGTATTAGTTACTGGACAAAATGAAATCATCAATTATTTATGTATTGTCAAACTTTGTTAGTGAAAAGACATTTATTTTGCTTTTCATCATTCAAGTATTTTCCTACCATTGTGAGGATGTGAGTGTGGGTGATTTAATTCTTTAATGAAATAAGAAAAATAGGATCACATATTGTTCAAAAATTTTATTTTATACAAGAATAGTATGAAGACAAAACTGTCTGAGGATATGTGTTGATCAGTAGGATGATATTGTGCCAACGAGAAGATAACTGCATCTTTACCGACATCTTCAAGATAAATAACCTTCAAGTCATTTTTAAAAAAAATACATGATTACTTCATTTCGTTTATTTTTTATTGAAATGAAACAAAACAGAAAGCTGTTGAAATACAGAAGAGAAATGCGGAAACAAAGCGAACATACATATATTGCAACGTAAGCATGAATGTATATGAAGTGTTTTTGTCATTTTTTCTACATCCAGTAATTTGGGATTTCAATCAAAAGATCAATCAAATAGTATTTTGTTTATTTCAAAGTTTGAGAAATTTCTGAACGCGCGCATTCTCTGTATCACAAACATACATATTCATTGCCGAATCGAATGCAATACCTTGCGGATTTCTTAACTGTGTTGGACTATTACCAGCGACACCATTTCCAACGACAGTGAAACCTACATCACTGTTTTTACAAAACATTTGAACTCGATGATTCAGCTCGTCAGCAACATACATATTCTGATCAGCATCAATTCTAACATCCGTCGGCTTGGAAAGGCAAATAGAGCTAGAACACGATATACCTGGTAGACCTGCGACAAACGTACCTGAGGTAGCACCAATAGCCCAACGTATTACTGAATGTCCATCCCAATTTACGATAAGTAAATCATTATTTATCGATGATAAATACCGAATACTATATGGTCCATTCAATGCATTGTTTGTATTGTCAGCTATATGTCTTCCAGCTATAATAACTCCATCAGTACCTGAAGTTGAATTCGTCAAAAAACGTATTACTCGCTCACAGCTACGATCAGCAACATACATGAATGTATCTGTTGGATCAAAAGCAAAACCTCGAGGAAAACATAACTGCTTTAAAGAACATCCACATGATTCGGTTAAACCTGCAATAGTTTCTCCATGTGTTGTTCCATTAATGAATTTTTGTACGCGATGATTGTTAGTATCGAGCACATACATGTTTCCATATTGATCAATATAAACATCTTGAGGAGAGTTTAGTTTGATACTATCACTTCCTGTCGATTCATAAATTCCAGCGACAACTTCGGCATTTTCGGCATTTTTTGATAACTTCCAAACATATCTCTTTAACTTATCAACACCATACAAAGTGTCATTGGAATCAACGAACATACGTGTACATGAGAATCTTGTTGATGAGGAGAGTAGCGTGATGCCTGTTGTATTCCATGGTGAGGTACCGGATGAACTTACTATTAAAATAAATCAAAATAATATGTTATTTAATACCTGATGGTGAAACGTCAGTTTCAGAATATGTTTGGACTCAAAGCTAGATATAACATTGACACATATCTTGAGGGTGTGGATATAAAGACATCTTTTACGTCCCAACCTAGGGTATGGGTGTGAGTGTGCGGTGGGGGTCTGGGTGTGAGTCTAGATACGGTATTCATCTAGCACTCATACTCATGCCACCACCCTATTCAAAGAAGTAGCGGTGAATCTTTTGAATAAATTTGTTCTTAAGAAATATCATACTTACTTGTACAGATGTCGTTGATACACGGAACATTATCACAGTCTTTTGTCAATGTGCAGTTTTTACCCACAGCACATGTAAGACATGAGCCTCCACAATCGATGTCCGTTTCATCACCATTCATAAGTCCATCAAAGCAGGCGTAACCTAGGAAGAGAACAAAGATTCAAGAAACCGTGCGACTCAACAAATCATTCTTTACCTTTAGAAAGTGCAGATACCTCTGTGGCACTGAGTTTACGAGAGTACACACGAAACTCATCTAAATAACCATGATATGTGCCTGTTGCAATTGACTGTGAATTACATCCACCACCACTTAGTGAGTTGCCCAATGTCAGAATAACCGGTTTACCTGGTGCATCATTGTTCTGTATACCTGTACTACCTACAGATACTCCATTAACATACAATGTAAGCCCATGTGTTCGTGAATAGGTAGTGGCAATATGTGTCCATGTATTGACCGATAAAACAGGACCTGTTACCTGATTGTTTGGGTTCCAAGCAGTAGCAATTATATTACCAGCAGAGGAAAATCCTAGTGGAACAGTACACCATCCTTGTCCATCTGTTTGCGTCGAGTAATGAACAAGAGTTCCTCCACCTGTTGATGTTCGTTGTACCCATAGAGACATCGAAAATGAATTGCTATTGACTCCAAGAAGGACATAGCCTGATATCTAAATAGTTATTATATATTGTATGGCCGTATCATAGTTTGGAACGTTTTTTCTAGCTTCTTTATCGTACCGAAAAAATCAGTCATATTTTGCAAAAACTTGCTAAAATCGATGTTTTCTTGATATTCATTATCTTGAGAAAGAAATGGCTGTTATTGTTGAAAATTTGAAAACACTAAGTATCGTTAGAACTACGTATATGCTCAAAGTTCAGATAAAAATCTCTTTCTTTTACTTTTCCTATGTAACTATATATTCCATTGGAGGAATGTTTTTTTTACTTGATGGCATAATTTACTAGTATATTAGTTAAACAATTTATAGAATGGCTTTATTAGATATCTTTGTAGTATGTTTAAGGATATTCCATAAACTAAATTGGGATGCACGTAGCATTTACGAGTAAAACAAAACTTTAAAAAAATCATTGGTCATAAAGAATATTTTGCTGTGGTTATTTGTCACTTGAAAAGTTTATTTTGATCTCAATATGTTCTTCAAGATCGTCTTTATCCAGGTAAATATTTGTTTCTGTATATGAGACTTTATCATAGTTTTTATTGCAATTATTCAAATCTCTTTTGGAGAGAAGATTCGATTTCTAAGTGGTAAGACTCTAGTATGGAAAATATATGAACTCTTGAGTATCAGATTTTCTTTTTCATACAGTATTAGCAGTGAAAAGTTCAACTAAGCCGATGACATACCTGATAATAAGATGAACTCAAGCTGAAGTTTAATCCTTGATCCACTTTACCAGGTGCTAATGTTACGTCAAATGCCTTCCCTTGGAGTTTATTTGGACCTGAATCATAAGTAATATCACGATCGAATGAGTGCCATGAAGCCAAAGTAGCATCGTTAAGAATGTCGCTGGCACTTTTAGCTGCCATAGTGAGCGACACTTGATCGATGTAACTAAATATATAAGAACAATATACAGTCAAAAAATAAATCGATGACTAGTGTTTTCTTTCAAGTTTTATACTGTTCAAAAAATGATCGGATTAATAAGAGATACTAAAGATCGAATCTACATAAATATTGCACGACCATTTCTGCTCATTCTCCATGGCTTCGCTAATAGTATAAAAAAGTTAAAATATGATCTTCGATATCGCAAAAAAAGTGCTTCTAGAGCCACATATTTCTAACTCAATTGGATAATGACAAAGAATAATTCAGTCTTTTTTTCTCACCCATCAAAGTAGTTAAAGCTACTACTATCCTGGTACATCCCAATATTTATTGAACCACTTGTGCCTAAATATGGCCCAGCTGGGCTACGACTACCATCTTGGTATCCATTTAAATAAACAATTTGTGTTTTTGATGGATAATCGTAGACAAAGGCCACGTGATACCAAGTCTTCGTTGTCAGTGAAGTTGCACCGTTAACTCCACCACCATAGAAGTCTAAGGTCAGCTGTAAACCTCGAATCATCATCTGTAACGAGTGGTCTTTGGTGGCCCCATCATATTGAGTAAAGAGTCCAAAATAGTAATTACCATTGAGTAAAGTCGTCGGATAAATCCACATTTCCACTGTAAAACTAGTATTAACGAAGCTTTTGAAGATTGGTATTTGTATGTACTGTTTACTGTTACGGATGAGCTGCAAAGCGTATCCACTACCGGTGATGCTAGGTGTTACATAAGTAGGTGAGTTGATACTTTCTCCATTAAGACCTGATATGATATCAACGGCATTGTTTTCCATTGGCCAGAAACTGTAATTTCCATTCGCATATGCGACTGCTACAAAAGAAAATAAACGGACTAAATTAACATGTACATTCTTTTCAAATCCGTATGCTACTATCTTCTAGTAGAAAACTCAATATGTCGATAAAAGATGGCGTCATCTTCGATCGTGTTACAGATCTTTAAATATATGTTTAAAATCGTTCTTAAACTCAGTTATTCTCATTCCTCTGGAAGGCAAAAACAGGGTGTGCGTGTGGGTCTGGATATAAGATATATTTTATATCCAATATTTGACTATTTGTAAATGAAATTAAGTCATCAAAAATTGATCCTGTTTCTAGTCCTCATACAAAACTCTCTGATGTTCTATATCTAGATGAGGAACAGTGGACAGCTAAAATCAAAACTTTTAGATTTGCTCGTTTGTGATACTCATCGTTTAAGCTATCACAAATCATCCAGCATATTACTAACCTGACGTTGTTGATGTTGATGTTGTTGGTAACGTTGTTGTTGATGTTGACGTTGATGTTGTTGGTAACGTTGTTGCTGACGTTGATGTTGATGTTGTTGGTAACGTTGTTGTTGATGTTGTTGGTAACGTTGTTGTTGAAGTTGATGTGGTAGTTGATTCTAAATTGCAAAAATGAGTTTAGAAAGAGACTTAGTGATTGTATAAGGCTTTATTCCTAACTTCTTTTATCGTCGCCTTCTTGTTCTTTTTCTCCAATCATCTATCGACTGTAAATATGAGTGCATTACAATAACATAGCAAATTCTGAGATGCCTTGCATTATAATTGCAATTCTATGATCTTTACTTTAAGCACATCTCTACTATAAGGACTTTGACAACTCATTTTGCATTTCTTATAAGTTTAATAATGAAATATTTGCAGAATTGTAGAAACTAACTCATATCATATTCGCATACTGCCACTGTTCTTGAAATATTTCATGTTCATTCAAGATGATATTCCGGCCAGAAACTTATCCTAACTCAATGGTCAAAGCTTACAGCTCATGTGTAACTATCATAAAACGGAATTAATTCACGTCGGTGTAGTTCATCGCTTGCTTTTCAAAAATATTGGTTATTGTAGCGTAGCTAATCATACGGTTAAAAGATTCTTTATGGTACAGAGAAAAACTTCAAGATGACGTCATTGGATCGTAATCAGAGCTGCTAAAATAGCTTTATTTCTTATTTATTGTCTAAGATCTTGGACAATGTCCTGTAAATTTATATACAATATCGATCAAATTCTTTTTGAAACACGTCGATACCAATTTGATTTCATCGAATAATTTTCTCTATTTTTTGCTGTTATTTTTGCAATATTTTCTATTATTTATACTTTAGTTTGAATAGGGCCAATTTAAGTACCACAGAGATTTCGTTTACTAGGATATTCTCAAAGTAGAATTCGAAAAATAAGCCTCGAAGCAGACAGTTCGACTCAAAAAGGTTTGCTAAGTGTGGTTGATTGTCTTCTCTTCACACACACTCTCATCCAGTGTTTTATCCAGCTTCTTTCGTCCGAGGGTGCAAAATTAGTTGCCGGGAGGGCAGAAATCTCTCTTCGAGGTGGCAAACGTAGAGTATCAGGCGCAAAAAGCGTAATTTTTCTGAGTCCCGGGAGGAGGGGGCAAAAAGCCCCGTGTCTCCCCGCTGGATAAATCAATGCTCTCACCCCCTCCCTCCCCACACCCTCAAAGGGTTGTGTTTGGAATTTTTCATCTATCACCACAAAATATCCCGCCACATATATCTGGAATAGAATAGCTCAGGCTCTGAAGCAGTCCAAATCCACCCGTTTTTTAGAGGTTCCGCTGCAAAATCCTGCTACAAAATCCATTCTTGTTCTTAAAAATCTCGTTTCAGCTCTATCTTCACTACACTTCAGACTTAAAAAGATTTAGATTTTCGGCTAAAGTTTCATCTACCGCGAACACACACGCCCACGATAAAGCGTGACAGTCAGACGAATATTTTGTGGGAGTGATTATCTCACTTCTCACTCACCCTCACTTCTGTGTAATACCACCGACTATTGCGAAAATGTAGTAATATATATATTCTCTAAAGATCGATCAAATAAGTTAAACGAAATTCGGTTAAATTTCAACCATCTTTGGTCTCCAACCTGATCTCGACATTTCCAGTATATAAGGAAGTATCATGGACAGTTTGGTGACATCAGCTATCACGAAATCACCTGGGTGAAATTTCACGCAGGTACTTCCTCCTCAGCTCTCATTAGAGGTGTAAGCCGTGCGGGTGAGCCGCGGCCGCCGCCGATGAACTACAAAAATTTAAAGCCGCCGCCAACAGTGGCAGCATAAACTTATAAAATTTAAGCCGCCGCGCCCCAATGGTATTATAAATTTTAAAATTTTCGAGCCGCCGCCAGCTGACACCCTTAGAATGTTACAGCCGCGCCGCCGAACATTTAAAAAAATATTTTAAACTTGGCGCCGCCGCCGATGACCCTACTGGCTTACACCTCTAGCTCCCATCAGTGTCGTCAACCCTCCATCGACCTTCCATGGGACCTAGGGAGTTACCATGGAAAGTTTGATGACGTTCGCTATCACAGAACTATCTGGATGAAATTTCACCCAGCCCTCTCTCCCAACCTCTTTGGCCGCGTCAACTCGATGTCGACCTTCTTCTGAGCCCAGAGGACTCCTATTAAGAATTTGGTGACGATAGCCATTACAGGGATCAAATGCATAAAGAACAAACAAACACACAAAAAAAACATTCTTCTTTATATATATATGGATATTCCGTCAAAATCGCTAGAAAATCAAAAAAAAAATGGATATTGACAAATATAAAAATCCCGTTTGTGCTGTATTCATTCGTATAGGAAGGAGTAATCCCTTTCGAGCTGAAAATCTCAGCTAATACTAACGTTACTACTATCTATAACATACAAAAAATATTGAACGAAATCTGAGATGCCCACTTATTACTGATATCTGATTTTCTCAGAGAACTATTCTTAATACATATTCTTTCACATGCTAAAAATTTCATTATGGATGTCAGAAAAACTTTTCATATCGTTGCTTAGAACTATGATGTATAAGTTGTTATCATAAACAATGAAGTCCTACTTCTGCCATCTTAAATAATATGTATCATATATTAACTTCAAAATAGATGATTGTCTCATTTTAACTACCTGTTGTTACTTCCATTTCTTCTGATGTTGATATGTTTTCGCCGTTTATCTTTGTTCTTTTAACGATAACTATGGAAATCATTGTTATTATAGTAAGTGCAATAATAATAAATATGATCCACATCACTTTTCGTTTTTTCAGATATTCACATCTAGAATAAGAAATCTTTATTTACATCATTGTCTACAATTCATAAGATACATACAATGTTTCTGGTTGAGTTCCATTCGAAGTAATTGTTTCAGACTAAAATAATCAACAGAGACAAATATTATATTTTGTAGTTTTTCTTTTTCTCAATAAATTACATCATCATTAACTCCAATTCTGTTGTTGTTGTTGTTGTTGTTGTTCATTATTGATATCTTGTTGAACATTTAATACTTTTACAATCTAAAATCGACAAAAGTTTTTTTCATTAATAGATATTCAATCACTCATAATATAATTACAAAGAAACTAAACTGTTTATTTGCATATCTTTTCGCAAAAAATCATTTGTGTTTCTCATTAATTATTGAAATCTATATTTCAAGTAATATCTAATATTCCTTACTGATCAATCTGATGGTATAAAAAACAGACTTAGATATTGTTTTTCTCACTTATCAGTTTTTCATCTCAATTTCAACTAGAAATTCATTAAAATGGCAGAAAAGATATGTATCATGCTCTCTCTCTCTCTCTCTCTCTTTTTCTTAAATAATCAGTTCTTTTTTGACGTATATCATTATGTTAATGTAAAACATTTCTAACAAAATATCATATATCAATAAAAACAATCAGCTCACTTCCTTTTTCTATGTTAATTTTTAAAAACAACAACTCTTGTCAGGTAGAGTTGTTATCTCGTATAAATATGAAATTGTTTGAGACAATATTTAGTGTAATTATTATTAGTTAATAAAACATTGAAAAATCAGCACTGCTCAAAGGATATGCAACATTTCCTCACAGAGAAGAAAAGCTGATGTTAAAATGCTCCACTATTGATAAAGATTATCTTCTGAAATAATTGAGAATTAGACGATATTTATGATTAGAAATATCTCTGATTTTATTTTATCTTATGCAATAATTATTTTACAGAATAGATAAATGATTATGAAAGTAACATTGTGATTATCTTTACATTGTTTCTTCACTTCAAAAAGAAATCGATCTTCATTGTATGATTTGTTATTTATTCATTTTTTAATTGGAACTCGATAAAGAACATTGAATAAAACTATAATCATGATAGTAATTACAATCAAAGTCATATGAAATACGTAGATTCTTTCATAAATTACATTTATACGTGTCTGTCGATAACTTTGGATATTATAGTTGTCTCTTAATATTCTCCACATTGTGAAAAGTTATTTATGTTCTCTTAATCATTTTTCTCACTGGAGAAAAACAAAATATTACATATATTTTTTAATTTGTGATTGAATATTTATTTAGAGTAAGTGAACATAAAGAAAACAACAGTTATATCAATTGTTAAGTTTTCTACAATATCATGAAACTTCGAAATTCACTGTTGTCTCTTTGAATAAATATGAGAATGACAATATGATAGAGATATATATTCCTCTTATCTTGATGTTAATTTGATGTCATTCTCATCTCTTTTAATACATCATCAAAATATTTTATACTCGCATCTTAATCTATTAATGAAGTATCTTATCGACAAAATATCTTTTTAATAATAAATTCATAATTAATGATATAGTTATCACAACTTAACTGTATAGCCTTGCAAATGAATGAATGAAAAATAATAAAATATTTTGTTCAAATATATTCTTTTCTCTCAGGAAACTTTGTATTTCCTTGAAAAAGTGCTGATTTTCAATGTTTTTTTTATATAGAAAAATGATGATATTAACTATTATTTGAACTAATTTACGTCATATGCTACCTCGTAGAGTTTGATATTTACAATAGATATACGCATTTTATTCAGAAATTATTTGGAAGAAGAAAGTGATGGTATTGTTTTCTTGAACATATGATATTTTGTCATAAATATTTTACCTATAAAGACGATTATATACAGTAAGCATGAGAACTATTCATTCATTATTACCTTTATCTTAAATGAAACAAATACATAAAAATAAAGTGAAAGATATATCATTTGAGAATCCATTTCTTGGATACTTAATAATTTAAAGAATGTTGAATATAGTTGATGATTCTATTAAGAACATCTTCTAATTTGTTCTATTCTAAAGAAATATTTTCTATTTTATTATTGATCATTCCATGAAAAATGTTGCAAATAATTTGTAAAATTGATTCATTTTTCTGTTGATGTCTACATAATAAAACATATTCTTCTGCATTTTTTCATTTATTATTATTAATATTTGTCTTCTGTTGAATGAAATAAACCCAAGTTGTTTCTTTTTAGTGACATTCTCCAATGATTAGCTATAGAATTGACTTGAGTCATAGAAAAACTCTTTTATATTTTACTGAAAACTGAACATTAGGAAAACAAAAAGTTTATTTTCTCTCTCTATTCGCCTACCTAAAGACGTCAATGACAATTTTCTTTTTTGTTGAAATATTTGCAGCAAATACAACATTTGAATTTCACAATAAAGAAACACAATGAATCTGTTTCCTTTTTCAAAACTAATATAAAATATCAGGGATTATTTGCTGTAAATATAAAAAGTGTTCATGATATTGAAATGTTTGTAGGAAGGAAGTGAAAACAAAGTGTTTCAAACAAAACTTAATGTTATTCTTGTTAAGACTATATCGAAAATCATACCTTAACGAAGGAAATACAATGCTTCCTGAAAAATAAAATATATGGACATTATCTGTTATCAGAAATATATTGCATAACTGATTTTATTCTTTTGTTTCACACATTAGATAAATGATTAGAAAAGTATAGTTGTTGATCTTTAGAATGAATCTTCATTAAATACTATTCAACAATATGAATATCATCGAAACACATAAAATCTACAAGAAATAAATATATAAATAAAAGGATTAGAATTTCACAGAATAATATCACATTCACTTTCAACAAAAAGTTTATCATGACAAATAATTATGATCAAATTAATATATAGTTATAAGTAAAAGTAGTATATCAATTATTTTTTTTGTACATTTTAGAAATAGGAAATACTGTAGAGAAGAAAAAAAACAATGAGCTATCTTGAGGATCTACGTTAGATATGGCCATAACACACCCTCAAGATGAACCATGAACGTATTTATTTCAACTACATAAAGACTGAACCATAAAGTTTCGATTCTCTTCTCTAATGATTTGCAGACACAAAGATATTCAGATATTGACATACAACTCCTAATAAATAATCATGCATAGACTAATGAATTTTATATTTATTTGATTTAAAGTACTGTGATATCCACTAAAATCTTGAATTGATGACATCCGATTGAACAGCTTTTATAGGGTTTCGAAATTTTTTAAGAGTAATATACCATATTTGCATTAAATGACATGCCATGAATATAATCAATATCAAAACGATGACCCATATCTAAATGAAAATAGGTATCGAGAATATTAAATTCATATATATTCGAAGAGTCTCACTCTCCACGATTGTGATACATCTGTTATTAAATGAACGAGTCCATATTGAATGCAAGTGATAACTCCTGCTGATGTCCACATAATACCAGCCAATCTGCCAATATATTCAGATGGAAAACTAAACCAAATGGAGAGGAAAATATTGATTTGAATTTTCTAGTTACGAAGAAAAGAGCAGTTATCTTAGTTACTTACAATGTAGAAATAACTGCTTGTGAACCAGCTACAATCACTGAACGACTAATGTAGTTAAAAATTAATGCAGGAATAATAGCGGTAGATTTCATAAACATACAAATGATACATGCTATTATATTTAAAATCCATGCACATGTCTAAATAATCGTAGCATTGAATAGTTTCTGTTTTTGATCTAAATCAAATTGTGTGAATATTCATATACAATATTTATTTGTAAATTTTAGCACATACTCTTTTCTGCTCGAAATGCAAGAAGAAAATCAACGATTGGTCAAAGAACTATTTGAAATAACGATCAGAGATGGGA